CGGGCCTTTGTCCGCCAGCAGTCAGCAAACCATTTCGCCTTTCCCGACACGACACAAAGAGAGGGGAGGTAAAACAGTTTACCCACAAATCTCCCTCGGCGTGCCCACTGGTTCACTCCTACCTATTCAAGCAGGGAAGCAAAGGCCATCTGCTCGTTTTATACTTCTGCCTCAAAAACACATTCACGGATTCTATTGCAGTCGGCCAGCAGATTACTGCACCAACCGCCCGCCTGAACTCCCGCCAGAACAAATCCCAAAGAAGGCCGGGGCGGACTGAGCCGGCGCGGTGGAAGGTGGCCGTGGCTCTGAATGTGCAGAAGTGGACTTAGCGATAGCTGAAGCATTAGCGAAAACAATCGACGGTTCCGTTTGATCTGATCCGCCCCGTTTGTTCTCCTCCGGTCACTTTTCTTCATTTTTCACTCGTCACTTTTGTCACTTACGCTAGTGCACTTTATTTTTTAATTTTTTTTAATATTTTAAATTTTTATCTTTCCCTTATTTTAAACTAACCCATAGCCTTATTCTACTAACCCATAGAATTATCATTTTATTTTATTTTATTACTCGTGCACTGCTGTCTTGTTGTCCATTGTTATACCGTCTACTGTCACGCACCAACCGCCAAGTCAAATTCCTTGTATGTACGACATATTTTGGCAATAAATGTTTCCTGATTCCTGATTAAATTCATTTTATTTTGTATAGCCCAAAATCGCAAATAACAAATTTGTCTCAGAGGGCTTTACAGTCTGTACACATACGACATCCTCTGTCCCGAAACCCACCATCGGCACAGGAAAAACTCCCCCCCCAAAAAAAGACTCCTGATTATGTCCCTCCATCGTGTCCCTCTCTCTTCGAGGGTCCGTAGGACTTTCCATTCACGCTGCAGTGGCGGCGTGCTTTTGGACCGGTGACTTTTGGGGGCCTTTGCACACTTTGGCCCGTGCGACTGGGTGCCATGTGGGGCCAAACGAGCACACATTAATCCACGCTCCGTATGAATATTCAGATACAGCTGTCTGCGACACGGCGACAGCAGCTGGCGCTCTCGGGGGCCCACGGATATCGGGCCTGGACAGAAGACGCTGCATCTGGGCCAAGACGGGCCCAGAATCCACCCAAACCCCAGGCCGTCACGGCCCCGCCACGCGAGGGGGGGTTCATGACTCAATAAACGCCGATGACACTCTCAGCAGCTCAGGAAATAGCCAGATGAATTGCTTTTTTTAATTTGAATACGTCATGGTTAAAACGTTTTCAGTTATTTGTTCCATTTCTCGTCATTATAATCCCATCGGGCTCCAGGAATCTACAAAACGCTTGGCATCGCTTTGAGGATCACGTTCCATTTTACATTTAGAGCTTTCGATGAGCTCGGACACCTGGTTGTTTCTAGAACACTGCTTAAATAAAGCAGAATGGTCCCATTTTTCATCAAGGTTAAATCTCAAAAGTCTAAGATGACATTCACATTGTCCCGTGCGACTTGAATGCCATTTGCCCTTTTTAATTACCCGGCTTAATCTCGTACTAATCCAATGATATTGCCACGACAAGTAACGCAGGTCCTGGTGGGAAGACAAAGCCCTCTGTGGTGAAAGAGTGTGTGTGTGTGTGTGTGTGTGTTTGGTGCGCCTGACGTTGCCGCCTCCCCAACAGTCTGCTGGTCGGCCCTGACAACACGCCGCCGCCGCCGCCGTGCCAGGCTGTCAGCGCGCCAGGGCCAGAGAGCAGCTGCCAGGCCAAACCAGCGGGCACTAATTCAGCCTCACCCCCTCTCCTCCATCCCTTCTTCCTCCTCCTCATCTGTGCGTGCACACACCCACACACCTTACACAATGCTGGCTTTAATTATGACCAACTTGCCAAGAGCTGATCCCCTCCTCCCCATCTTTTTTAATCAAAGACATTTGTAGCCGAGGGCGTTGCCAACGCTCTAATAACCAGAATTTTCTGTGGGGGGGAAAAAAAAAAAACACCTTTTTTCTTTGACCTACAGTGATCCTTTTAAATCAAGCAAACCCTGGAAATCTCTCAAAGCCAGCGATGCAAAATAATCTGTTAATAATAATTAATAATCCATTTCTGTTTGATGCGGTAGATTAATCGCAGTAATATATTAGTTCAAAGTTAAGATATTGACAGCACGTCCTTTTTTTTACCTACTCACACCTCAATAAATAAAATTTGGGGAAAATTGAAATTTGGAACGGATGATGGAGCCAGAGGGAACGTCAACGTCAGTCTAAAAGGCGGCGGGTAAACCGGCCAGTCGGCGTTTCCATCGTGTCTGATAAAACGTTTGATGGTGTACTTGGGCCCCCACCCGTCAGCCCTCCTCTATCGGAGCCGGCCCGTCTCCCACCTGAAGGCCGCGGCGAGGCCCTGAGCTCCCCGCTGCCACGGCAAAGACGCATATTGCTCCATCAGTGCACGCGTGGTGTTTGCGTGAATGTGTGCATATCCTCCTGGCTGCAGGGGGACACACACACACACACACACACACACACACCGGAGGTAAGGCCGGCTGAAATATTGATGCTGCGTTTTGTTCTCGTTTTTGCTGTACTTGAGCGGCCATCTGGATAGATCGGCCTTTCTCACGTTAAATATTAATTCTCCCTTTTGAATATCAACGGGGTAAAAGTCAAAAAAAGGTCATTTTGTAATGTGAGAGAGAGAGAGAGAGAGAAGGGTGGTGTTTGTTGGTGGTGGGGGAGGAGCAGGACTCAACAATAGGTTTTTCCTAACAGATGGAAGATTGGCTGCACGGTTTTAGTTCGGTGTCATAGTGGAACCTGATATCTGATTATATTCCCCCCCGGCTCAGGGACACAAAGGGATTACATGTGGTTATATGAATAATGAAATTGAGATTATATTGTTGACACACATCTAATTTGTTGGACCGTGAATGGAGAAAACCGCCGATCAAACCCGTCTCTCGAGCCAAATTAAAGAGGTCGCTTCTGGCCACGTCTGCCACCTACAGCAGCTCTGCTATGAAACGAGGCGGCTAATTGGTGGAGAAACGTCCGCGTGGCAGGACTCAATCGGGGGTAAACATGTTGAAAGCTCACAAACAATCTCCTTATTGTCGGGCGGTGCGTTCGGCATTAACGGAGCAGCGCACCGTGATCTGTGTGTGCACTTTGAGGGCGAACTCAGCGATTCGTTTTAACCACGTGCTTCAGAGTGAAAACCAGCGAGCAGCATGACAGTTTTTGTAAATTCTCTCTGCTCTGAATAAATTGACAAAAGCCTATTAATTATGAACAAATTCGTAGCCTCGCACTGATTAAAGAGGAGGAATGGTTGCCTGGGAGCTTTGACCCGCGCTGGAGGCCTCCTTGCTTGGACGTTGGCGGTAACCGGAGCCGCTTGCAGCCTGACAGTAATATGATGGAGAGTAAATAAGGCGATTCTACAGGGGGAGACGGCGCGTTTTGGGTGCCGCCACAAGGTTGCAACAGCGAAGAAACGCGCACGTGTCTGGTTGGCTTGGTCGTCTTTGCAACACTGTTCTACAATGGTGCAGAAATAACGCCAGAAACGACAAAAAATGTCCTTACGTTTGAAAATACAGAATATTTGTGATGACCGTTGTTTGTAGTGGGGGGGGGGCATTTCCATTAACACCTTTAGCAAACAGCAGCGCTGCAGGTTCCCACAGCTCAGTCAAAACAATAAATCGGCCTCACACGGTTGATCCACCATTTTCGGATGCTGTATCAACACAGCTGGACATCCTAAAGTTTGTGTTTATGTCTGTGCACTACCTTTCCGACCCGGCTCTAAATATAGCTCGCCAGCATCCTGCTGTGATGCTGAAGGTGCAGTCATCTTTCCCCTCCGAAGGACACAACACTGTCTGAAGTTAGTGAGCAGGGAGGGAGGGACGGAGGGGGGATTGGAAGGAGGGGGCGGCGGGGGTTGGGGAGGAAGCGGTGACTACTGTGTGACAAGCGCCCTGTTCCTTCCTCCCAGGCCTGAGAAACAGGAAGTGCTGCACATAAGGCATTATTGTGACGGAGAGGAAATGCAAGGTCCTCTAAAATAAGAGCTCCAATCTGGTTCTCAATGACAAGAGCTGGTCCGTCCACAGAGACCCCCCCCCCCCCACACACACACAACGAAGAAAAAACTTCTTCTAAAACGAACTAAAATTCTTGGACATGCGCAAACAAAAAAACGGCGCCTCTAATTTCTGGAAATGGTTGAGTGCAGCAGCTGACGGATGAGAATCCGCTCTCAGGTCGTGTGATGCACCCACATGACAGGTCGAGGCCACGGCAGCGTTTCAAAGGCGGCGTCTGGGCAGATCCATCGCGCTCGGGTTCAACAGAGGCTGAGGAGGAGCCGGTTGCTAAGAGAGACGCGCGGCTTTATGGGGGGGGGCTGCCTCCCAGTTAATTAAAACCCTCCTTCACCCGTTTCACGCTTTCAATTAGGGAACTCTGGAAAGGGCCCAAGCCTCTGGATGGAGAAAACCATAGCAATAAGATGTGATTAACATGCCCTGCCCCCCCCCTCCCATTGAGGCTACGGCAACACCCTGCTGTTGTGTCCATGCCTGATTTGGATCCCAGGCATTGAGCTCTTATGGTTCTGATGCTGTGCGACTTGAAGGGATAAGATGTGCCGTTATAGAACAGGTGCTGGCCCGTGTTGTGTTGGTCGGTGTCACACTCGGCCCGGGTCGAGTCTAATGGGTTTCTTTGGTCATTTGTAATCAAAAGAAACGTCAGCAAGCAACGTCTTTGCCCGATTAAGAGCAGATCCATCAATGTCAGCCGCTGTTTTTCACAATCAATTAACCGTAAAAACAGCCGCCAAGCTGTACTGGAAATACAGCACGCTCAGCGCGTTACGTTCTACGGACAATGTGGAGCCGCTTGAGTGGTTTTCTTTAACGTCTAGATGATCTGAATGCTAAAGTTAACAAATTAAACAGAAGTGTTTAGGGGCAAATCACACAAATACAACTCAAGTAAAAAGGAACATGTTTAGTGATGAACACAGATATACGAGCATGCAAGGTCCAAACTATGTTTTTTGCTCTCAAGATACTATTTACTAGATTTATAGTATATCAGGAGGCACAATTAGAAGGACAAACAATAAATAAATCGAACCTCACAACGCTGGCAGGTTTTAAACAAAGCTCAGCACAAAACACAACGTGTACTGCCATCTGCTGGACACTTCTAGTAATAAACAATATAACATCTGTAACACACCGTTATCTTCCAAATGAACCAATGACATGCATTATGTCGGTGATGCTACTTCTTATTAGCACAAAAAGGAGGCTGTGTATTTAAACAATATAACATCTGTAATACTGTGACCGTATAACTTCAACAGCTGAAAAGTGAGGATGAGATGGACTCAGGCGTCCTTCGGCAGGTCAGCTCGAGCATCACTTTATGCCTAAAAGGAGCCGCCCCCATCCTACCAGGAGTCGTTACGCCCCCCATTTTCTGGGTGGGTTTCTGATCTTGTGACACCGGGAGAAGGAACCCTCTTCCGAAGGCACAGGGCGGCGGGGGGGCCGCGTGCCTTCTTCCAAAAGGACTTCCTCCACCTGTTATGTCCATCAGTACCTCAGCGTTCCCTCCACCTGCACCAAGAGACACGGGGGCGTTAACGGGCATGTGATCCCTGAGGTCCGATGAGTCGAGTGGGACTGGAGCCGGATCTGCCGATTCAACATCCACAGAAAACCCATCGCTGGCTCTCGGAGGGCTCGGCGTCGGGAGGGGAGGGATCGCGGGCGAAGGCGACTCCACAGTCAGGCGTTGGTGGCCGTTGGCGGGTAAAGTCTGGGACGGAGACCGGGGGTTGAAGCGATCCAGCAGGCCTCGCTCGGTGACAGGGTAGTGGTCGACAGCCCACTCCTGTCGCATTTTCTCCAGCTGTTTGAGCTCTCTGGGCAGCTCAAACACGCTCTCCTGAGGATGCAAACAGGTAGAGCGTTCAAAGGATGATGGAGGTGCTTTCAGGACCAGTTTCCCCATTTCCCTCTTTGAGTAATAAAACACGTCAAACCAGCTTTTGGTTGCTGCCATTGCTCCTTTTGTCAATTCTGCCTATAAAGAGATCACTTTCTAACACAATTAAAATACACTAGTCTGATTTAAATCAGCTGAGGCTGATTTAAGCAATAAAAGCACATCCAATGGATTTAAGGAACAACTACAACAACAACAAGTACATATCGGCATGTAATATGGAGAAGAATTTATAATACATTACAATTACAATACGCAATGCCTGATTAATTGATTCATCCACCAATGTTACATTTTACAAACTAAACACCCTGGAAATGTGGTCATTGGTGAATTCCCCACCATGCCGACATGCTGCAATTCATCAGGTTCATAGTAGCCGCTGTTGAGGTATGAATCCACCAGGGCCACGTAGTCTATCATGAGAGAATCCAGCAGCACCAGTCTGAGAGGGAGGAGGTGGATCACCGACAGAGCCATCACCTTAAGCAGGGGCATAGGACACGGCCGCTTGTACAACATCTCCCTTTCTTCCTGTGAACACACACACACACACACAATTCCAGCATACAGATGCAACTGTACGGCAAATAAAACCACCTTGATGAGACTCTACTGTGCCTTGGTGAGCTGGGACTTTATCTGAAGGGATGAGAGTTGAGACGGGGGCACCTTCAGATGGAGACTAACCACCTCCTGCAGAGTACTGACCCTGTCGGGAAGTAGACCTCCCGTCTTAGAGGAGAAGCCCATGACATCCGCAACCTGAACACATAAAAAGGAAGGGCAGAGTAGGCTTAACTATAACACACACGAGGGAAGATCACCCGCGGGAAATGCCGCACATTTACCTGCGTATCGAAGACGTTGGCCAGCTTCACTCCAAACTGAACACTCAGACATCCAGCGATGGCTCTGCAGTCATGGATGACCTGAACAATATGAACACTCACCATAGAGGTCTTGGTAACAATCAGCACAGTGACTGAGCAGGATTTCTAGTGTTTTTTTTAACGATACTAACCTTCAGTATGTGCTTACTTTGCAGGATCATAGAAAGGCCGTTCTTAAAGGCCCGATCTCCAAGTATCATGATATCAAACAGGTAAACCTTCGTTTTAGTGGCAATCTAGATGAAGGCAAATCAGCTTAAATTATTTTCTACTTTTTGTCATTCTTGTGATGAAGGAGAAACCCGGAGCGTAGGACAGAAGGAAAAACCCCAAAGGGAAAAATGCAGCACTTCTCACCTGCAGCCAACACAGTCTGTCGTGCTTAAATAACTCGACTCCATCAGCGCCCACGCCGATCACATGCTGCTTCTTGATGTGCATCACCTGATGACGCGTTTTTACATAAAGTCCACATATATTTGTATCCTGAAAAGTATTGAGTAATTCAGGGGATTTATAGAAACTTACAGCAGACCCAAACTTCTCATAAAACTCATCGATGACTATGAAGTTGACGTAGTCCTCGTTGTCTTCATCGTCATCTATAGAAAAAAAAAAAAAGGAACCTCTCAATGATGAGTGAGTGAATCATTTCTGTTTGGGAGACACGGACATCAACTGGAGGGGTGGTGGCATTTTAAATGAGTATTACAAAAACACGTTCAATTGTTGTCTTACCGAATGGGAGTGTCTTCATGCACGGCTGGAACGTTTCCAAACTCAAATGCTCTTCCAGTCTGTGATGTTCGATGTTTCTGCACAACACAAACGCGTCACAGGTAAATATCCACGTCTGATTGTGATGCAAAAAAATAAATAAAAAATGACAACATCGTTTGTTGATTATTTACCCGCTGTCAGTGTTTGCCTCACTGGGAAATTCCACTTTGAATTAAAATCATGCAAAAAGAAGGACACGTCAGACGTCAACACTTATAATTAAAACACTTTTGTTGTTGTTGTTAATCATTGTTTTATAACTAACGTTACCACTTGAGGGAACTTACCATTGATAATCTCATGACCGAAGAACAGCTTGAATCCAGGAATCTGACAGCCGTTACTGGCACCAACAACTGGAGCAAAAACCGAACGTTACGTCACGTTAACGTGCACGAGTTACCGCAGAAAACCTGTAACCCGATCGCATTCAGGTACTAAAACAATTATTATGGGGGGATTTAACAAGTGCTAATAACAACAATGCTAATGGACGCTTTTTTTTTTTTACCGTCCCCCAAAACCAGCGTTTTGTTGTGATTGATCCGTTGGACGACGCCGAAGTACGAGGAGGACTTCAGGGTCAGTTTGATGAATTTCCCCCTGAAGAAATGCAACAACTTGGCGTTGTCCAAATCCATGAAGGTGTGTCGGTCACCACTGAACGGCACAGAAACTGCTTTAAAAAATACCCGCCTGTAGCTAGCAGCTAGGCTAACAACTTGTCCGTTAGCGTCAGTCTGGTTCAGAGGGCCCGCGTGACGCCCGCCACGCGCGTTTTGACGTCGTTCGTGTTCTTCTTCTTCTACTTCTTCTTCTTCGTGGTTTTTTGCGCGTTGCGACCGTTAATTTACGTGGAAGGTCAATGTTGCGTTCAAGTGCTTCTCGTTAACTTCACCATCGCCTTCCTCCTGAACCAACGGCATGCATTATGTCGGTAATACTTCTTAGACAAGGCAAGGCAAGTTTATTTGTGTAGCGCTTTTCATACACAAGGCAGACTCAAAGTGCTTCACATCAGAACATTTCATACAATAAAGTGAAATAAAATGCAGGAATTAAAAGGCAATTAAAAACAGCAAATACAATTATAAATTAAAATCTTATTTAAATTGTTTAATTGAAGGCAGAGGTTAAAAGTGCAATGTAGGTCAAATTTAGCAGAAGGCGAAGCTGAACATAAAAGTTGTCAGTCTTGTTTTAAACGTGGTCAGAGTTGGGGCAACTCTTAAATCTTCAGGAAGTTTATTCCAGCTGTTTGTTGCGTAGTAACTAAATGATGCTTTCCCATGATTTGTATTTACTCTGGGAATCACTAACAGATTGGCCCTAAACCATGTAGTGATTTATATGTGAGCAGTAGGATTTTGAAATTAATTCTCTGACATACTGGGAGCTAATGTAAGGATTTAAGAATTGGTGTAATGTGCTCACATTTTTTGGTCTTTGTTAGCACAACATAGCATTGAGGCTGTTTAATATGTAACATAAAGGGTCACGTGTGCTTCAACACCACACGGGAGGCTGCGTGTATATATTTGGGTATATATTCTTCATAAACCAAAAACAGGTATCTACTTTTCCGATGAGTTGACAAAAGCAAGATATTGATTATACACATTTTGAAGCCATTTTTTTTAAGCAAACAGTTTCTGCTCAGATATGATCCCAGTTTTACAGAGTCTGTGATACTCATAAGCCTAGAGTAAGTTAAACATGCATTCAAACTTGATCTATTTCTTCATATTACTGAGCGTCAGTCAGTCAAAAGGTGTGATAGCATCCACCAGGTGGTGTTCACAGCCACTAAAACACTAACACTAGTAAAGAAGCACAGGATCGCCCAAAATGTTGAATATATTCTAATAAGATCTCAATAACGCCTCATTCTACGCTACATTGAAGACATAAATCACCACCTCGGGTGATGCCCTAACCGGTGCCTGATCATCTCTAAATATCGCAGTTTGCAAATTATATTTCTCCTTTCATTAGAAAATGTCAGTCAAGATAATTAGAAGTTGATGCATGTAGATTATTTTGAAATGAAAGCAAATGTTACGAGGTTAAGACCAATAATAAAAACTTCCATAGAAATGTTTTAATTTCTAACTTAACATGTGGTTATTGGAGTACAAGAGATATGGTCCACCCAAATTCATCATGTGACGTCAGAATCTGTGCCATGAAAATCAAAGAGTAATGGACACTGCCTCGCTCACGGCAAATCATACAACATGTGCCGATTGTTTGGGCTTGTAGGATATTAGAAACAAATTGACGACCCGGTTCACAAAATGAATAAAATGCATATAGTGTACACCAGAATACAGCCAGGATTCTGGAACTGTGTAATCAATAAAGTAATGACAATATTGTAAAACTACTGTAATTTTGCAACTGTAATAGAATAATACCAATGTACGGTTATGATTGTATTTGATGTAATGTAATCAACTGGAATGCATGCATGTAATACTTGAACAACAACTGATATTGACTAAGGGTTATTCGAAATCCGAGTTACATTGAACTCACCAGAAGACCACTCCCAGAGGTGTGGACACTAACTTTCACACCTTTAAGCATTGGTATAAATACCATAGGAACCATTCTTCTGGAGTTCACTGGTGGAGGCGACAGACAGGCACTATGGGGGGTCAAAGGACTGACCTGGGGCCTGTTGGCTGCTGAGACCAGCGGCTCCTCAGCTGAGATGTTCTTTTTACCACAACACCATCTCCTTTATTAAATACATCTGATTTGACCTTTTGATCAGCGATGACCTCTGTCCGTCCGGCGTTTCTTCATTTTTGAACACAACAGGCTTTTCTATTGTATCTCTGTCATGAGAAAGGAGTGAGATCAGATTTAGTTTTCGCCGCACGAGGGCCGGCTTAGGGCCTCAGTGGCTGGTCTGAGTGCAGACAAGCTATCTTATCAGTAGCAGCCAGCTGCTGATACGCTGGTTCTCATGCCAGCAGCCGGTGGAAACTCACAAACTCAAACTTCTGCCGCTCTGTGCGCCTCGTCCAAGGGAGGACTCTCCCTCTGGAGCAAAGGCTCCGAAGCCATCCAACAGTGTGCTTTTTTGCTTAAACTTGAGAAAAACATGAGACACTGGTGTGTCCAAACACACCAGATATAGTTTTTGTCAAAGTAATGACATTGTTTTTCCTGAATAATCAAATCTTTTTATGACCCTCGTCTGTCACCTCAGCCATAAAATGTCCACGGACTCACTGTTGCTATTTATTGGTATAATGTCTAACTGAATCCCTTATCACACAGTTCTCTCCCACACCCGGAGACGTGTTGTGAGCCTCTTCTTGAAGCAGGAAACCTCGTCCCTGGACCACCTGCCACCCAGAGAAGCCTCCGTGGAAACCCACAGCCACTGTTATCTCCAGAGAGGAAGGTCCACCCTGTTCCTGTTCGGCAGACTGAACAAATAAAAAGCTTTTTGTAAACTACAACAGGGATCACACCCCAGATACTCTCCTGTCCCCGCAGAGACGAGGACTAGACGGTGTTTTTAATGGACGTGAACGTAGAAAGTATATCTGTAGTGACGGAAAGCCTGTTTATTTTTATTTTTCATTTTAATGTTTAGCTGCATTTGAAACGAACGCCTTTAAATTAAAGGTTGTACAAAATAAAAGAAAGCAAAAGAAAGGCGCACGCGGCGGGGCGCACCGTGTGAGTGACAGGCGCCGCCGCCGCCCACTGGCGGGCGAGCCAGGTGACCTCATCGTGTCGCGTGCGTCGACGAGTCGGCACAACGCTGCCGAGAGCGCGCGGAGGCGCGCCGAGCCGAGCCGAGCTGAGCGATGCCATGCTCCCATCGAGGAGAACGCAGATGGACAGCCTGGTTCAGCCGCTCGTCGCCCAGTACCTCGCCATGGGCTGTCAATCAGGAGAGAAGAAACCCAACGAAAGTACGACACCGGACGAGAAGGGGAAGGACGACGCGTAAGTGTCGTTTTATTTGTGTGTGTGTGTGTGAGTGTGTGGGGTGTAAGTTAGTAACTTAAATGATCGGAGTTGTGCTCCGGGTTCTTAGTGGACCGTTTGTTTTCTTTCATTTTGTGCCCAAACGGTGCCTGGAGAGGAACCTTCAGGACGCCCGCTGGCTTTACGCGCAGGTTACCGCCGACTTGCTGCACTTAAAATGCACACGTTTCGCGTTTATATGTTTCGAATTCCTTCTTGTTTATTGGTCATTCTACAGGTTGAACTGGATGTCCGCAATCAACCGGTATTTCCCTGAGTTGAAAGGAAGGAAATGAGAACAATGAATAGCTAAATTCCACTGGGGTTCCTAAATTCGAACAATGGCCACAACTGCACTGGTCGTTTCATGTGTCGTCAGCTGTGGTCCGACGAGCTCACGGTTGGTGGGACGAGGAGCCTCTCCCCCCCCCCCTCACTCTTCTCCTGTTTGGTGTTCCTCCAGGAGAGCGTCTCCAGGATGCATCTCCAGGTCTAGAGTTTCTCCTCCGGGCCGACCTCACAGGTTCCACAAGCCCGGCCCGGCCCAAAGCGCCCCGGTGAAGTCCATGATGCCCCTGGGTCCCCTCACCAAGGGGGGGAGCTGGGAGGACCTCATCCAGGCCTGTCTGCAGTGCTTCGGTGAGTTATCGTTGTGTGGTGAGGGTATGTGATTGGTGGTCCGTGTAACACTGAAGTCGTTGGTGAAGTTCGTGCGCCGCTTTTGTTGAGAAGAACGCGGCGATAACACGCCCTGGCTGAGGAGTGATCGCATGTTGTTGTTTCTCAGAAGTCAGGGTTCTTCCCACCTTTTTTCCCGGCATACGGCTGCAAACCTCCAACAAGTTTAGGCAGGCCTTTAAAAAAAATGGAGTAGGCATTTGAAAGTGAAATATTGTCAACACAGTTGAACGGATTTTATGTTTTGAAGTAGAAATTTGTTCCGTTGATGCTTCCCAGTCGATTTTCTTTTTTTTTTTTCACCGCCTCATACGCGTTGCTGACCACGTGTGTCCTAATTTACTTCACGACTGTATCGTTCAATGAATCCTTTGAGTGAATGAGTCCGTTTCAATGATATGTCGGGTTTTTTTGGTTGTTTTTTTTAAATGAGAAGGAGCGGCGGCGAGCGTGATCATCGGCTTCATGAAGTTGTCAGGATCGCTCCCAGAGTTCTGGTGATTGTGTCTCTGCACAGACAAGCTTTCAAATTGCCGTTGCCTGGTTACACAAATGGAGCAAGAGCAACGGAGAGGCGTCACAATGGGCCGCACATAAAATGACATCCCGTAAGTGCGTTTATCTGTGGAGAAGGTGAGAGCGGGGCAGTAACGACAGCCTGCTGCTCGTTTCAGACCCACAAAGGGGCACCGAATGAATCGGAGGAGGAAGAGCTCTGGACCCCTGTAGTGCGGCATCGCAGCGTTCTCTGGAACACTTGCTGGAAGCAATTTCAAAACGTGAGATCCAAACGCACACACGCGCGCGCGCGCCTCAAGATGGCCTTTCGCGGAGCACGAGTGTGTCATCAGGGGGAGAGGAGGGGGGGGTTTCCTCAAGCGGCTTCTCCTGATACAAAACCAGAACGCAGCACCGCACCTCCTGAGCCCACATCACAGGCGAAGCCCCGAGGGCCCCCACCCACGCCCTCTCCCCCTCCCCAGTCCTGCCACCTTTTCAAATGTGAGGGTTCACGTAGGAGCTATTTGAAGGATTACCTGATGGCGGCTTCAAGCCCGGCCTGAGGCCCAAAGGTCAGCGCCCCCGAGCGGCGTCCTCAGAGGCTCGCCGGCCTTTGAAATGCGGCACTGTGAGGTGTGGATCAATAGCTGTTGACATCGTCTCTCTCTCTCTCGACCACACTGCACGCTCCCAACATGCCCGACGTTGAGCTGATTCACGCGAATAATACATTTTATTTTACACTCAAATTGTGTTTATACTAGATATAATTAATTAAATATTCGTTCTGTTGGTTGCATGGAAAGCCCTTAAAGCTCTAACGACGAACTCTTCCATCAAATCCTCCTTTTGCAAATGTGTTCATCATTTCGAGTGATTTTAAATTGAATAGCATTGAACTATTATTTCAATACTATTTATTATTATTAAACTATTTCAGAAAAAGAAAGAGGGTCATGTATTCGCTTTTCATGACATTGGCCTTTGTGTTTTGGAAAGAAACTATTCGGGCAACGTACTACAAAGGTCAACAAAGGTCAACACATAGAAAATGACAATATGGGAAACTACTATAAAGAACACTGTAACAATGCAGTGCAATATAACTCTACTACGCAAAGTATAACTAATTATTCCAAATAATAGAACTGTACAGTTTTGTGTGAGATTTGTAAAAACATTGATTGAAAAGTTGAATATGCGGGTTAATAGTCCACGGTGATCACCGTGAGCAGGTATCAGATGTGGGTAGATTACATTTCTTCACTTTTAGCTTTGTTCTTTGCCTGACTGCTGACTCGTTTTTGCACTCTCTTCTATATATATATATATATATATATATATATATATATATATATATATATACACACATTGCTTTGATACAATCTGTAAAACTACACACTCTTTCTAGTGTGGTACCAGCTTTTCACATCAAAACAAAGTCCTTACTGCCAGTCCTGCTCACTTTGGAGCTGTTTGTTCAGAGTGCAGGGAAATAATCACCATCCTGCGTGTGATTTGGTGAAAACAAGGGAACCATCCCGGCTCAAGGCCTCTGTCAAAACAAGGAAGAGCGACGTGCAGGTCTGGAGCGGGCGATGCGCGCCTGAGATAACCTCAGAAGCCAGCCAGGCGCTGCGTGCCCTTGGCTGTGTTTATCGCCCTGCGGTCTCACGCTGTTCCAGCGCGGCGAGCGGCAGCTTTCCTCATTTTTCCAGTCAGGAACAGACAGCAGAGGAGGGATTTCCTCCTGCAATTAACCCTGCGCAGGGAGGGTTAGCGGTTGGAAAGTTGTGAAAAAAGACGGTGGTGCAACTGTTTACTTGACGGAGAGTCATGGCTTCCTGTTGTGCACGTGCCGTAGGACTGACTTTGGCTGATTCACAACCTGATACCTGTTAACGAAACCGCGCGCTGACTTCAACTGCATCATAGCGTCATTAAACAGCGGCCCTGGTGTCGCGCTTCTTCTCTTCTTCTCTTCCTGACTTGACTGCTGGGTGAAATTGTAATTCACTGCCCTCAGCGGCTGCGTGTTACAAACACAAACACACCCCGTGCAGGATGTGAGGGCTGGATTAGTCAGCGGCAGCTGGAGTGGTGAGTCGCTTACCGATAACAAAGATTAGAAAACATGTTGCCATGGCGTCCGAGGTATTTCCAAGGTGATATGGTTTAAAAGTGGGTCCACAGATGCCCGGTGTCCTTGATGGTGTCGAGATACTGGTTCAGCGATTAAGGGAAACAGCATGGGAACGTACACGCTTTCAAAACCATTTTCCTTCTCCGCTGATTGTGGAAGCCTAAAATGTACCGAGATAAATGGATCGTATTTTTCGAGATGCAGTTAAAAGTCCGCTGCCATTTCCCCGCATGCAGCGGCGGTCTCACGATAAGTGGCGTGTCGCTCCTCTTAAGCGGGCAGGAAAAAGTGCGTTTTCTGCCATTAAAGGTCGGACCTGCCGCTGCGATGTGACGTTTTGTGCGCATTAAGGCCGCGGCCGCCCAGGGACCTTCTCACTGCGTGGTCTCAAGATGTCAGCTGTAGCCGAGCATCAGACCACCGAGATAAGGAAAGGTGGTCTGGCCACAATGGGAGGAAGTGAGATATACACAAGGAAAAGGGAAGCAAAGAAGGTAGTGAGACCAGCAGGCCGCAGAGGTTCACACAATCAGAGGAAGGGGCAAATCTTCACAAACGGGCACGACAAAACGTCGGCGTTTCAGCGGGACACACACAGGTGAGGTGGCGTCTGGCAGAGTACAACGTTTGTATTCAAAGGAAATATCAAGCATCGTGTCTGAAGCACTGCAGCCATAGACGAGAGCAGTCAGTATTTTTCCTCACTTGTTGTCCAAAAACACACCGTTGAGCCACAGCACACTGGGTGAGATGTTCCTGCATTACTCCTTAGTTCATAATAGTACCAAATAAAAGTACAATTTAATCCTGCTTGAATAATGTTTTATTTTTTGAAGATGAAAGTCTATATTTGTTGTTATGAATTTGTGAAAGCGCAGCAATGATCGCTGCCACCTAAACGACGGACACCTTGCATCCCCTCTGATTCCACTTTAAGGGGATGACGTCGTTTTTCCTCCGCTTCGTAGCTTTGAGGCTAACTCAACTAACTGTTTTTGTCTTGCAGACTCGGACGGCGGCGTGTGCGGAAGCGGCCACCTGTTGAACATCACCCTGGCCATGCACCGTATCCACATCTCCTCCTGTGAGCTGCTGGACAAACTCGCCACCCAATATCCTTCAGCCGCCCCACACCAAGCTGCAACCGCGTCATTCCCAACAACGCATCGGACGATCGTGAGCGCCGGCTGTAACTCCGGATCGGGATCCCCTTGGCTCCGCCGGGTGCTGCTTTCCTCTGGTTGTCAACGGCAACCGGCGATGGAGCTCGTACATTGGCTGACGCGTGTAAAAACTCATGCCGTCGGCTGCCGCTCCGCCCCGCGCTGTCAGTAACAATGAATTGTGTCCACGGCCGCCACCTTTTCCGGTCTCTTTTTTAAAACGCTTGATTGTCATTCATTTATTTTGGTGGTGTTGTGGCTTGAGTAGAGGCCCCGCGAGCTGCGCTTTCATTCAGGAAGTGGCAGTGACATCACTGTGCCTCTCGGAGGAGCCCGCTGGCCCTGGTGGGCAGCCTCTGGGTTTTCGGGTGTTTCGGCCTCTTTCAACTTTCTCTAACCCCCGCTTGCTTAAAGAAGTCCACCCCCCCCCCCCTTCACACAAACACAGCCAACAGCCTTCGCCGCAGTCTGGCCTGCGGATCGCGTGGGCCGATCTTCTGCTCCCGTGACGCAATTAGCCCTTTTTTAAAAAATGTGAATCACTTCAAGCTGATTTCTGACGGGCCGAGAGCTGCAGAGTCGTACGTAAAGAGCTGCTTTGAATAATAGGGAATGGGCTCCACGTGCAGCCCGGGGTTACCTTGCTAAATAATAATCTCATAGGCTCGGATAACATCGTCATAGTCCGACCACTAAACGATCAGCGGCTGCTCTACAGTATGTGAAGGATTGATTGCGTGTTCTCTTTGTACTTTTTGTTATTCACTGACTTCTGTGTGCCGGAGTGATTCATTGGGTGATTTTCCTCATGCAGTCGCCTCCTCCCACTCCACCAAATGCCACTTTGCTGTAGTTTTAATTAATGAGTTGTTTGTGCAAGATTCCGACTCTGCAGTCGGAATGCATTTGTCCAATGTTTACTCAAAGCGTACTGGTCCTGTGAAATGTCAATGATCACCTGAAGTGAATCCCGGCTTTCACTTTCGGACAATCACCATAAGTCTTCCTTAACCAAAGTCCTTAAATTCCAAAAAGCGCTTGACAATGAGCAGCCGACCGAGTGCCAGAGGATATGCTACCTCATCAGGTCAGTTTTCACGCAAAGGCGCTTTGTACGACTCCAACCTGCGCGCGTCTCACGGCCTCCTCTTTGATCTGCAGGCACTGGATCCAGGAATTTTGGATGATGTTCCGGTTGCACCACAGCTTGTCAGACCGCCTGGACCAGTTCCGTGAGCTGATCAGGGAGCAGGGACAGGAGCATCTTTGCTCCCTCCTCGAGACCAAATTCATGTAAGTGTTAATCTCTGACCAGCTGGCAACTGAGACATCGGGCCTGAGCGACACTCGGCGGTTTGGTCAATCGCGACTTTGAAAGTGGAGCGGAAGATGTTTTCCGCCTCCACGCGGTTTGAGAGGGCACGCGCATTTGTCTGTTCTACATGCTCCACTTCATTTCCGTTGTTTTTTCAATTGATCTTTAGATCACTTGGTCTATAAAATGTCTTCAATATCCATCACAATGTCCCAGAGCACAGGGACGACGTCTTTAATATTGCAAAAACTAAATCCTGAGAAATTGCAATCATTTATAATAATACCATATCATTTATGGCTTCACAGTTGTAGGAATCTAAACACACACCACGTCTAAAACCGCATATTGGTACATTGGAAGTGTTTGACTAGAATTTAAAATAATACGAAATTCCTGGCCACATCAACACAAGTCTGCATTGAGGGACACAAACATTTCCTTTATGACGTTGCGGTGCTCGTTGACCTCTGCTGATCGTGACTGTCGTTGTGGTGTTTGGTTTTCTCTAGAAGTGAACGGGACTGGTCGTGGAAGGCGAGCCAGAAGATTAAAGCTAACAGCAGTAAAAAAAGGAAGGTCTCTCTTCTTTTTGATCACCTGGAGCCCATTGAGCTGGCTGAGCATCTCACCTTCCTGGAATTCAAGTCCTTCTGCAGGATATCAGTGAGAATGCACACTAAAATACACAACCCATGGCTCCTCATTTGCCCGCTGAGGATTCCTTTATCCAACAGTTATCTCTGTGCACTGAAAACCAGAAGGCATTTCCTCTCCGCAGGAAATGCCTTCCAGTCTCCGTGCACCACGTCATGCTCCTCTCTCTGTCAGTTTGTAGACTACCAGAATTACATTAGAAGCTGCTGCATGAAAGACATCCCCGTGATGGAGCGTTCCATCGCCCTGTGCAACGGAATCTCCCAGTGGGTTCAGCTGATGGTGCTGAGCAGGCCGACCGCTCAGCTGAGAGCGGAGGTTTTCACCAAGTTCATCCACGTTGCAAAGGTACTGTGCTTTCTGTTCCTGGTTCAGCAGAAAACGCAATTCCTGCTTGATTATGCTTCCCATTGTTTATGCATTTCCCTAATGACAACCCATTGTTAAACAGCGATACAGATGCCATATAATTGGCACATGCATGGTGCTTATTCACCAAGAGCGAGTAATGGCGATCAGCAGATCTACCGCAGGCTTTTAGCGCATCCTGAGGTTTTCCCAATAGAAAAATGATTAACCGAATGCATGCTAATGGGGTTGTGAAGTGGGAACACACTTAGACACAGAGGAGGATGTGAAAGTGGAAAAGACAGAAATGAGTGTAAACCCAATCTCTGAAACCACTCCGATGCAAAGCTGCCTGAGGCCCGCTGAGAAACGGGTCGCCGGCGAGGGAGCGAACGGGCAGGCTCGTACTAATGCGTCGGTCTGCAGCTGCTCGCTGCTGCAGACCTCAAAACCATGGGTGTGGGGACGAATTTCACACCATAATGCTCCGGTGACAGAACCAATTTAGTGAGCTGGAAAGAAAAAGAGATGGAAAAGGCACTTCTGAAAAAAAGAGTGAGATATCCGAGCGCAGTAAGGAAAAACCCAACAATGTAAGTGGCTTATGTAACTGCAGGGTTGTGATTTACATAACCAGGGCCACCTGAAGCCAGTTTAATTCTGCGTGTTTGTGTGTTAGCGGGCGGACTGACGCGGGCGCTTCTTTCTGTGTGCGTCCACCAGAATCTACACATCATGCACAATTACAACACACTAATGGCGGTGGTGGGAGGGCTTTGTCACAGCTCCATCTCCAGACTGAAGGACACCACCTCACACGTTCCCAGCGAGGTCACCAAGGTAAATCACACCCACCGCCGTGACATCCTATTCATATTTAGAGCCAGAGCATCCTCACAAAAAAACCTATTCACTCCAAAGGTACTGAACGAGATGACGGACATGCTGTCGTCCTGCCGCAACTATGACAACTATAGACAAGCGTACAGCAGGTGCACAGGTTTCAAAATCCCCATCCTGGGCGTTCACCTCAAAGATCTGATTTCGGTCAACGAGGCCATGTCGGACTACGTGGAGGACAGCAAGGTGAACGTCCAGAAGCTCCAGGCGCTGTACAGCCACATTAACGAGCTGATCCAGCTCCAGCTGATTCCTCCCAGGCTGGACGCCAACAAGGACCTGGTCCACCTGCTGACGGTAGGGGACCCGACCGATTGCAGCCGCACATTCTGATCATATTCACACACAATTGTTACGCGGCCTCGTGTGATTCACCGAATCCAACGCAAGCACAGATGCAAATGAGTGCCTTGCAGCATGTGAATTGTCCCCGCGCATGTGTCTATGATCTATGAGTGAGTGTGTGTGTGTGTGTGTGGGGGTGTGATGAGAGTCTATGATCTATGAGTGTGTGTGTGTGTTGAGAGTCTATGATCTACGAGTGTGTGGGTGACGAACCGAGTGTGAATGTGAGAGAGTTCAGATTGCTGTATTGTCGTTCCATCTGTGTGCGGTGCTTCCGTCGTACTTGAACCGCAGAATGTCCGCGAAGAGATAATAGCCACTGTGACCTGATTAAAAGCACGTCTCAAGGACAAAGATCTAGATTAGCCGAGAGCTCTTTGATTTGATTTCGGTGTTGTGTGTTGTCCCGTTTCGTATAGCTGTCCTTGGACCTTTACTACACCGAGGACGAGATCTACGAGCTGTCGTACACCAGAGAACCCAAGAACTGTAAAGCCCTTGTGAGTGATGGAAGCAGGAGCTTAACAACCGTCTTCCATGTATGCAAAGCGTGAGGTCGCCGGCTAGCTTAGCCAGAGGACTGCAAACGGGGAAGCAGCTCGTCCGTCGAATAGCCACAAATTCTTAAATGAACAGTTTTGGGGAGCACATTACACTTTGATTGATATGGCTCTAACCTTTGTCTGCTATATAGGAAGCAGCAGCGGCTGCTTAGCTTAGCTTAAATACTTTAAACGGGGGCTGCCTGGCTCTATTCAAATCTCCTCTAATGCCCAACAAATACATTAATGCCCAACATTGATGAACTAATATTTGTATTCTGTGTAAAAAATCTTAAATTCACAACTTCAACACAGCAAGGCCGTTTTCCCAGTGTTCATTCTTTATGCTAAGCTAAGCCCGGCTGCTGGCTACATAGTGACAAATCCTGTCATGCCACACGAAAGCAAATAAATTCCTAAATGGCTTAAATACATAAAAGACCTTCAAATAATATCTCTGCTTTTTATTCAAAGAATAGTTTTCCAGCATTCGCTTCTGCTTCTAAAGGACGTCCATTGATTAAATGTGTGGCTCGGATAATATTTTACATGTTATTCCGCGTACTTGGCCTAGTTTATTTTAACCACTGATTCCTCCTCCATCAGCCACCCACCCCCTCTAGACCTTCAGTGGTTGTGGACTGGGCCCGAGGAGTGGCTCCCAAACCGGACCCCCGAACCATCAGCAAACACGTGCAGAGAATGGTGGATGTAAGTACTTCCTTTTTTGTGTTGCCACGCAGCAACGCGGTTATATAACCACACTCAATTATTTTAACCTCGTTACTGCATGCAGCCATTTCCATGGCTCGTCCCTCTCAGCACATTGTGCGCCAACAACGGCGTTTTCCTCTCTCGTCTTTCGCAGTCGGTGTTTAAGAACTACGACCACGACGAGAACGGCTTCATCTCTCAAGAGGAATTTGAGAAAATCGCTGCTAGCTTTCCGTTTTCCTTCTGTGTCATGGACAAAGAGAAGTGAGTTCGTTCGACAGGTCGCGCTCACACGCTCACACGCTCACACGCTCACTCGTGACTTCAGAGGAGCGGAAGAAAACTCGTCATAGTGACGAGTGTAGCAACAGGAAACCCTGAAGAGCTGCAGAACTTACCAGAAGACCCACCGCTAAATCCCCAGCGTACACAGACGACCATGTGACCCCTCATATGGTCCTAAACATACAAACCATCCTAGTTGATGCTTATATATATTTTTTTCAAATTACACAATAACACATTGTTTAGCGTGTAGCGGAGAACCATGTCAGACGTTCCCAAACATTAAGACCAAGATGAAGTTAAGATGGAGCGTGTTCGCGTTGTGGTTGTGCAGGGAAGGCCTGATCAGCAGAGCGGAGATCACGGCTTATTTCATGCGGGCGAGCGTCATCTGCTCCAAACTGGGTCTCGGCTTCGTCCACAACTTTCAGGAGACCACTTACATGAAACCAACGTTCTGCGACAACTGCTCCGGCTTCGTAAGTCCCCCCCCGAACGCTCACCGTGTGATGAAATGACAGAACCATGAAATGATCTTTCCGATATGCAATCGTGTTTTTAGCCTCGCGTATGTTGTGATGTGAAAAGTCTTCTTATTGTTCCTCGCAGTTGTGGGGCGTCATCAAGCAAGGCTACAAATGCAAAGGTAATTAGGAGAACGTCTCTTTGGCCCCAAAACAACAAGTCGGTCTCACAGATGAGGTGCACACACAGTCTGGGAGCGAGCAGGTGAAGCAGGTTTCAAAAGCTGTGAAGTGTGGGGTTTTTTTCTGTGTTGCACAAAGCGGAGCCTTGCAGCACATGAGAAAAAAAAAAAAAAAAAAAAAGAAAATCTGCAGCCACAACCACAGTTTCTCCCCCCCCCGCCCCTCAATAAATGTGAGAGCTATTTGTTTGCCTGAGTTGCTTCTGCAGAACAGACAGCGTTCAAAGACGAGACGCTGGTTCCTGTTCTGACGCGTTGTGCATTCTTTCGCCTCGCTCAGACTGCGGGATGAACTGCCACAAGCTGTGCAAGGAGCAGGTGGCGTTTGAGTGCAAGAAGAACGCCAAAGTGACCGGCGCCGTCGACAGTCCGACGCCGCCGAGCTCCGCCCCGGTGACCACGGCCGCCTCAGAGGGTGGGTGTGCGCAGTCGGGTTCGTCATCCGCATTCAAACCGTCCCATCCATGAGTCCTCTGGTGGAACGTTCTTTTTTTAAGGCAAATGTTCAGGCAACCGAGCACGTTATTTCCTGTAATTATCGCCCAAAACACTGCAGAGAAAACAATACCAGTCTGATTGTTAATGATGTGAGTTCAGTCTCAAGCACGGCGCCTGTTGTCGGGGTGATTTCCCTCCGGCTCTCATTGGGGAATTGTTTCACTTACAGTAATAATGAAGCTGCCCACCTGCAACAGAACAGAAGAACTTTCGATTTTACTTAGATCGAGACACATCGAGGCTTTTTGGTTAAAAAACGTGGGCACCTGTCTTCAAATGAGTCTTTGTGACGTGCAATTTGGGCATATTGTTTGTTCCCTCTTATGGGTTCGTGCTTACTGAATTGAGTCATTTGGTCTTGTGGCCGTTGATCGATGTTATTGTGACATGAGATGTCAATCGCTCGTCTCAGGCTCAGAAGAATGTCCTTTCCCCTACCCGCCGGACGGCGGCAAAGACGGGAGCCCCGGGTCCCCGGTCCCCTCCTATCCGAGGCCTCGTCAGGTCCACAGCGCCACCCAGACGGAGGGACCCCACCCGTCCCCCACCGGGACCCGCCGGCCCCCTCTGCTGGTCCCGGCACCGCCGCCGCCGCCGCCTCTCTCCTCGTGTCCCAGCCCGCTGCCCCAGAGGAAGCAGCGACACTGCGCCAAGTGGGAAAACGGAGCGTCGGTGGCGCGGAGGCCCAGAGGGCCGGACGGGGAGAACAAACCCGGCTGCGAACCTCTGGAATCGGTGAGCGGCCGCGCCGGGGTTTCGTTCCTCAGAGGCCCGGTGGTCGCGCACTGTTGCTACAGACGGTTCTGTTGTGTGTCTTTTCGCCCGCAGGACGACGAGAGGCTGCAGGAAACCAACGGGACACTACTGAGGAAGCTGAAGGAGGCAGAGAGGGAGGTGGAGATACTGAAGACGCTGCTCAAGAGGCACGCTCTCCACCACGTGGAGGAGGACTCCTCCTCCTAGGAGCACGCCGGCGGCGGCTAGAGCGCCACTGCCCCCTTGTGGCGAGGGGGAGCACGTATAAATCTGGTTGGTGATAACCAGTGAAAGGATTTGGCTTTAGGTCTGGTTGAGTAGGATCTAGAGCGCATTGGCTATTCAAGGTGTTTTAAAGCTAGTGGTATACAGCCAAACAAGCAGGCCAATCATTACGTCACCAGTAAGGAGGTCAAGAACCTTCTCGAGGACTATCGATTTTTTTGGAACCAGCGACAGTCTATAGTGCCCGAAAAGCCATTAGCAATGCTGAGGTGTTCTCTTTAACGAGGCTTCGAGGGAGCAGGAGGACTCGACTGTTTTGTACAGTTTGCAGCAGAATGGAAAGCGTTGCGATGAGCATTAATCACTTTTTTTTAGTGAACCAGCGAGAAAGGGGTTCACTATGTCAAAGCTGGGTGAGTATTTAAGAGGAAGAACAGGGCAGAGTGTGTTCGATCAGTTCTTGATTAATAATGAGATTAGATATTTATATTAAACATGAAATGGAAATTCAAGAGTTTTTAACGTGTTTATCACAAGTGCAACATGATTATTATTATTATTGTTATTATTATAATCATGAACCACGAGTGGCCCCTGATTGAAGCAGCAGAATGAAGGCTGGAGGCGTCATAAGTACAGAACTATTGTTGCTCTGCATCATAGTCCCTGTTCATGCCGATGCACGAGATGTTGTCAGTGCTTCTGTTAATATTTATTGTATTTAACACTACACAGGTCATGTCGGGAGTGACAGAAATTGACATTTTGTAGAGCATACTGGTACTTTCTGTGAAGTATTTATGCTTGTGTGTGTTACTTTGCATCATATTGATTTGCATTTATTGTTGTTGTGCAGCCATGTCACCTTATTGCTGTGTGGCCTGTTGTGTTAAACTGTGAGTCAAGCTACATGGGTTTGTAGGGTGTGTAATGTGCTGTAAATACAAAGTATACACATGGTCATCCTAATTGAGTTAAGCGTCATTCTTTTTCTCAGCATTGTTGTTTTATCGTGATAATAAATACTGTATTATATGTAAAAATCCGTTGCATCAGTTACTCAGTTTGACCACTGGGGGGCACTAAAGCTTCATGCTGTTTATTCAGGGTGGCGATAATGATTTTGTATTGAGTTTTCAGACTCTCTGGGGCTCGTTCTATAAATGTTGCAGTCTAATCTGCGTTTAACTGAGAAACATTAATCAAATTAAAGAGCAAAAAAAGGGGATGTTGTTCTTCACTTTCACAACTTAAAAAAAACACAATGAGGAAGATGAGGAAAGCTCAGCTTCATAAGAAGCAAGTCCAAAGATATATTTAAGAATCCGTTATTTGATTAGTATACTCATGAATTATTGAGGCGTGTACCTGTGTCATCCTGTTGTTTGGAGACCGGGAGCCTGTCCTGTCCCTGGGACATTGCTGCCGGTAATGAGTCCAGCTCCACTCACATATTGTTGGCCTGTAGATAATGAGAGGGCAGCGGTCTGCTGATGGAGGACGCAATCCGCCGCTTTTCTTTCGCCGATGCAGCGCGTAGCAGGTGGACCTACGCCAGTATGTGCATTTCTCTGCTGTTAATCCATCCTAGAGAAAACCAATTGACTCCAAAATATATATATATATATATATATATATATATATATATATATATATATATATATATATATATATATATTGTGCTTCTTTATTTCTCGCAGCTGCAATGACTTGTTGCCTTGCATTAACTTGGCAGCGAGCAGGCATCCGGTGGAAAAAAAGGATTGTCTCTGAGGCACAGCGGCAGCGACCAAACCAAGCCTTGGTGACAGCTAATTTACTTCCCTTTGAATGTGACTCCCCGCTGAAAGGGAGTAACACCCCGAGCCCAGCAGGCTGTGTGCACGCTAATGCTGAATAATTTCCAATATCATGGCTGGCTGAGAGAAAGTGACAGTGAGGCCATGTGTTAAACCCAGCAAAGGCCGCTTTTTTTTTTTTTTTTTTTTTGAAGCCTCCGGGGCTACGGAACACGCTTGAGAAGAGGAATGTATGTACCTGACGCGTTAAAGTCGCCATCGTGAAGACGGATCGGCGTAAAAGCCATTTACAAACCAAATGTGTCGTGGTGCATTAAAGGCGGGGGAGGGATAAACATGGCGCTCAGCTCGGCTGCACATACATCGAAAGCGAACTTTGGCCCTCTGTCTCATTATACTGTGCAGACAGGTGATTTATCTCCCGGACGTCGGTGTACCCGGGGCGATTGTGCCACTGCGAGATGCCCGCACGTTGACTAAATCTAACTAAGTCTAATGAACACACTCCGAAGCTAATTAGGGAAAAGATGTGGAACATCCCATTATATCCCCCTGATAGCACAGTGTGGGACACGGGGAACGCAATGGGAACACAACACATTTAACACAGGCTCATTTCACACTCCAGGCCTGCAGGACACGGCGACGCCACTGATTCCCTCGGATTATCACACCGAGTTCATTAAGCTCTAACGATGGCCGAAGGACTCCTGCGAGGGGAGCAGGGGAGGTAAAAGATGGAGGTAAAAGAGAGAAAGACACAATTTTGCGGACGGTTTCCGGAGCGGTGTGTAGGCACGGAGAAATCCTTTAATTAACCTTAAGTTCGCCTGCAGCTGTGTCCCTTTTTGGCGTCGAACAATACTGAAATTTTCCTTCATAATACCGACTAAATGCACTCGCGTCAGCCCTTCGCGAATGTCAGGGATGCGTGGAAAGGCAGGACTCAAATGCAGACGCTTCTCGAAAACAAAAGACTTTAATAGTCAGAAACTCCAACACAAAATGGCCACGGGGCAAAAACGCATACAGGAACAGGGACAAAAACGGCAGGCAGAAACTAGAGGCATCCAGGACAATAGACAAGGACGCGACAAGTGACAGGAGACACACACACAGCCTAAATACACTAGGGAGGTGCAGGTGATTGGACACAGGTGGAAACAATCAGACAATCACAGGGGATGACGGGACAAGGCAGGAAGTGAAGTTACCCGGGGAGACAAGAAGCAGAAACTACAAAATAAGGCAGGAAATAAAACCACACCGTGACGGTGAACGCAGGACGGAGAGACAAGAGGCGACGCCCGAAGCTGATACAAGAGTGAAGTAATTAGTGCGCAACACTGTAGCCTGTGAAAGAGTCGTCCAGCACCGAATTCCTCACAATGAGTCTGTGTTCGCCCAGGAAGCAACCCGAAGGGCCACACATGTATATCTTGTCGATATCCAATGAAATGCCTCCACAATACTCACAGGGAAGCTGGCAACGGCTCCCTGTTGGGTTCGCTGGATACAGAGAAGCACACTTAATAAAACCCACAAGAACATGTTCCTTTTTTATGTATTTGTTCCTGTGACTTGTTAGCCGTCCCGTGAATTAATGCGAGTCATACGAAAGGACAGCCTGCGGCTTTCATGTTGGCTCTGTAAGAATTATGCATTAAGCCGAGACGTTCGTCAGGTACTTGATGAAGTCGCCAAATGACGCCGTTGATGTAAAACACTCAGGGTTGACCCGGGGGCTCCACGCTGCATCGTAGCCCCATGACGGGGGGAAAACGGCTCTGTAGACGAGGACGGCTTATAAAGGAAAAGGGGAAACGGACGGGTGAGATGAAGATTTTAAAGCTGAAGAGCGAAGAGCTGATGCCGAAGAACCGTCTGAAACAAAAGGCTGCTCAAAGATCAAGACGAGTGATGCGAGACATCGCAGCAGAGGAGCAGCTAAGAAGCGAGGAGGGGGGGGCGAGTTAACCCCCCCGGCTACTAATAAAAGGGGATCGAACATGTCTGAGGCAGACTGTACCTGGACCTCCTGTTTCCACCGAGCAGTGGGACACAGTGGGACACAGTGGGACGCAGTGGGACACAGTGGGACCCCCCCCCCCCCCCCACCTACTGAGAAACCACAATCTGCTGCTCACACCGGCACAGAAATAGAATGTCTTTTCACAGTGAAATCAGAAATTGCCACTCTGCTTGCTTTGCTCACCACGGTGCGTGCGCGCGTGGTTTCAGCGGAAACTATTAGTTCGAGTGTTGGACAAACTGTTGACCCGATGAAAAAAAGCACCAGAGAGAAGCGGGATACACTCTGCGTACTGTATTATGTGTCCCTGATTGATTCATTCTTTAATTAGGCCTTTGTCTGAAGTGGCCAATATTTCCAGACTTCTGATTGAACAAATTGGACCCGGGAACCTCAATGAGCTCGTGATATTCACTCCGGCACACGGCGCCTTAATGCCACAGTCGAATCCTATCAATCTCGGACATTTCAGGGCTTTTGAAACACAATCACCGCGCTGAAGTGGACATTGTTAAATGGAGCATCGGCGGTGCATCCATGTATAATAATACGCGGTTCTGCTGCAGCAGTAGCACACAGCGAGAGCGAGAGGGTCCTTTTACTCGCACCATCAGTCACACACCTCTCCGTAATGGCTTGGATGAAATAGCCACAGGGCTTTAATGGAGGCCAGCAGGCTGCTCGAGAGTCTGCTAGTCGCTGATGGTCCGCCACCCTCTGTTGCTTTCTCCAATGACGCCTGGACGTAAGGACATGTCCTCGCGTCTGTCTACCCTAAAACGCCTGGAGAAAGGTACAGTGACATATGCGCTCGGCACATCACGAGGACGAGAAACCATTGATATCACTTGATACTCAGCAGCAATGAGTCAGGGAAAAGGTCAGGCGTGGAGATGGTTCCATCACTCCTTCCCCACGGCAACTCCATTTTCTCTTTGAAGGTCGGACCTGCGGGCTAGAAAGTGAAAAATTGAAGCTGTGCGATCACTGGATGGCAGAAGAAGAAAAAAAGGATTATTATCCGGCACATTTTCTGTTAAAAAAAAAAAAGGTGCCTCGATTTAATTTCTGATTTGTACTGACTGTTATATTACTTATTGTTATATTCACAATGAGGTGCCCGCGTGAAAAATGTGTCTACTTACTACTTAAAACTACTTAGACCCCCGGAGATTTGTGTGTCTGGTTCCAACCATCAAGGCTTGAGAAGATCGATGCAACTGTCGGAGACCAACGTGGTATCCATCTTCTGGCTCCTGGGAGGAAATCCAATAAGTACTTCATGCTATTTTACCACTATTTGGATGGCTGCGCCGTTTGGACCAGGTTTTAAGAAAATGAATTCTACGAGACACCTGGACATTCACCTGAAGAACGCTTTCATTAGTTGACCGACATCCTTAACTGGTGCGGAAAGCATGACCTCGCTGGTCCGGCCTTCATTTGTGTCGACCTGAGAGGACTTTGACACGTCACCTACAGCTCGGCCGTTAGCATTGCAGCCACTTCCTCCAGAAGAGGATAATGGGATGTGAAAGATGGGCCCCTTTGGTTCAAAATTGCAATCGATTCAACGGCACGGAGGCGTACCCTTTGTGCTCATCGGTCATGTACGTCAAGCCGCCAGGGGGGAGGGCCGGGGGGGGCGGGGGCGTTGGCGGTCTTTCAATCCACCCCAAAAAAGTCCAGAAGCGCCGCTGACTCCCGACCTCCCCCCCCCCGAGCCTTTAAAACCACAACGTGAGTGGACAGCTGGAGGCTCTTCATTTATACATCACGACCCTCCGGGCGTGACGCGAGACCTCAAAGTCCCACGGCCCAGCGGGATCGGCGAGTCCGGGGGGTCGAGGACGACACGCACGTTTTGCCGTCCACAGGTCCTGTCCGTTGTCTTCACCAGAACACTACATCCGAGATGTGCTACTTCGGACTGCGGAGCGTCGTGAGCAGTGCTGCAATTACTTGAAAGAGTTGCTTACACTTAAGAGTGGAGTGGGAAGTGGACGGGCAGGGACGGAATAACAGAAATAATGAGCCAAAAGGAGGTCAGACTGCAGCCGCCACAGTTCAGAGCATCACGTGAAGAATGCCGCAGACGACGATAGAAAGTCGCTTTCAAATTACACGCAGCCTCATATGTAAATATCCGCTTCACAGTTCCGACACATTTTCAAGTGTTTTAATTCTGCTTTATTTGTCTTTACCTTTTGAG